ACTTTTTGAGAAGTATAATAAGTAAGATGTTGAAGGTGTGACCCCAGAACAGAGAGAATTTTTACTGTTTGAGACCATCCTGGGCTACAGAACAAGACCATGTCTCCATCAAGCGGGGAAAAAGATGTATGCCATTTAACCCTTCCTCCTGAGAGGAATAAACTGTGTTTATGAGTTAATTTGAGAATGAAGAATTAAATGGACCCCAAGAGCTTGTTTGGAGGTTCTAGCAGGGGAGCACAGCAACTCACGTACCTTTGACTGAAGACCAGTCCTCCTTTATTTAGTGAAGGTCATCCTCTTGGACTGAGTACACAGTTTTGGGAGGGATGCACATGGAAGCAGTGAGTGAGGAAAGCGACACCCACCTAGCCAGCCAGATCAGCCAAACCAACCCTGAAGATCAGTGGGGTAACAGATGCTTTCACATCCATTGAAGGGTTAAGGTGTGAAAATCTGTAGAGCAGAGGAGGTTCAGGAAGGAAGTTTGGTGGGGATTTGGTGAAGGCAGCAGATTCCTGAGCTCCTGCAAGCAAGTGCTTGCTAAAGAGATGCCACGGCTGTTTAAATTCTGCTGGTTATGAAGTCAGGTAAACATTGTGGAGTGAACACATGGTGTGCATTACGTGTGCTACTGTCAGGAAACAAGTGTGTGGAGTCTGTTGTATCTAATAGATAAAACAGTATTGCAATTTTCTCCACTACTCAACAGATACTGGGTCTACATGTTGTAGACCCTTTTCATGCATCAGAAGGGTAACTGTACAGATAGACCTTTTGATAATGTTCAAGTTAGTGTACAGTCCCTAGAAACCCTCAGTCATAACTAGTGCTGCTAACGGGTTAATGTGCAGTCCCCAGAATGCTCAGTTATAACTAGTGCTACTAAATTTAAGCTCTTAATCTGCTTCTGCTTTCCTCCAGAAAGCCCATGAGACTTTAAATTACCAGAAAAGTTCTTTAGACTTTTGCAGATAAAAAAAAAAAAAAAAAAAAACTGTTCAGTTGAAATATTAAAGTTTGACTTAAAAGTTACGAAAGTCATTTGGCTGCCACTAATGCCACAAACAAGTGTAGTATATAAGCAGTCTTGGGTGGATGATAGAGCCACAAAGAAGGTATCTGTTAACTACTCCATTGTCTTTACTATTGAATTGTAAAGGTTAAGTGTCCTGGGACTGTTTTTTAGTTTTCTGCAGCCTTTGGCATCGAACCCTTCACTAACAGGTCTAGCTAGAGTTTTCCTGCCTTGCCCACAGTCAGGACAAATCTCTGTCACCCGCCAGTCCCACAGCCGCTTGGACCCAACCAAGGAAACACAGAGACTTATATTGCTTACAAACTGTATGGCCGTGGCAGGCTTCTTGCTAACTGTTCTTATAGCTTAAATTAATCCATTTCCATAAATCTATACCTTGCCACGTGGCTCGTGGCTTACCGGCATCTTCACATGCAGCTTGTCATGGTGGCGGCTGGCAGTGACTCCTTCTGCCTTCCTGTTCTTTCTTTTCTCCTCTCTGTTAGTCCCGCCTATACTTCCTGCCTAGCCACTGGCCAATCAGTGTTTTATTTATTGACCAATCAGAGTAATTTGACATACAGACCATCCCACAGCAAACAGGAATGTTTTTTCTGATGTTCCTGTTTGGCTTATACTATAAAAAGCTGAATATAAGACTATTCTATAGTGACTATTAGGATTGGTTAATTAGTGTGATGTGTGCAAGTCTGCAGTGAGTTCAGGGAAATCTGATGTGTTTGTCTGTCTGTAGTCGTTACACACAGTAAGAAGAAAGGACTCAGTCAGTTTTCTTTTTCTAGTGAAGTGGATGCCCACATGTATTTGACTGAGAAACTTGTGTTTCAGTATGGTTGAATCGAAATTCATGTTATCTAACAGATGAATAGAATATGTGTTCATAACCCAATTTGGCCAATGCAGTCCTATAAATAAAAATGGCCTTCTTTTGTAATTTTGTGAGCCACTTAATTTTTTTCAAATTAGAATAATGTTTGTAATTTATAAAAGGGGGGGCACTTTTAAGGGTGGATAATTGAGTGCACTTGATATGCTTGCACAAGACCCTGGTTCTGATTCCTGTTATTTACAGGGTGGCTCACAGCCATCTGTAATTCCAGTTCCAGGGGATCTGACACCCCTTTCTGGCCTCTGTGGGTACCAGGCATGCATGTGGTGCACAGACTTGTAGGCAGAACACTCATATATATGAGCATGTGGGGGGGGGGGAGACAGACAGAGAGAGAGAGGCACAAACACGAGGCTTATTTTCAGATCATATAAATCTCTTCCCATTTACTGAAAACAAAACACTCAGAAAATAAGAATAAATAAATTCTTTGTTTTTTGTTTTTATTTTTTTCGAGACAGAGTTTCTCTGTGTAACAGTCCTGGCTGTCCTGGAACTCAACTTTGTAGGTCAGGCTGGCCTTGAACTCACAGAAATCTGCCTACTTCTGCCTCGCGAGTGCTGGGACTAAAGGCGGGTGCCACCACTGCCGGGCCAATGAAATCTTTTAAAAAGAGAATTGTTGCTGTCAATAGTACTTGGGTTGGGCTCTGAGTAATTTTAGACCTTACGGAAGTGTGAAAAGATCGTGGAGATTATTGTGTTGTATTCTCATTTGTGGCCTTTGTTTGAGCTTTCCTGTACTGACACTACCCCTATCTGTTCACTTAAATCAATTAGTGTTGTAAAGTGAGAAATTAGTACCCCATTAGCTGTGTTTTAAGTGCTCTGTGGTCACATGGCTGACGGGTGCCCATTGTGCAGTGACGACTCCCCCCACTGTCACAGGCAGCTATGGGACAGTGGCCCTCGATTTTAAATCGCTGCTTGATGCTAGGAAAGTAGATGTTAGAAATTTGGGATAGATATTTAGAATAAAAAACCAGAATTTATGCAATTACAGTCCTAGTAACTCAACTTTATCAAAATTATTTCTTATAAATGTTATTTCTTTAAGGTAGGGCTTATATTTAATTGTGGTATTAGGTCTAGTTAGAGATCACTAATGTTGAAGAGCATAAAAATGTTATAGTATCAGGTTCTGTTAGGCTGCTTATTTAAGTTTTATTGATGGGCAGTGGTGGAGCATACCGGCACTCAGGAGGCAGGGGCAGGCAGATCTCTGTGGGTTTGAGGCCAAATCTGGTCTACAGAGCGAGTTCCAGGACAGGTTCCAAAGCCTGTTTTTTTTCTTTTCTTTTTTTTTTTTTTTTTTTTTTTGAGATAGGATTTCTCCGTGTAGTTTTGGTGCTTGTCCTGACTCTCACTCTGTAGCCCAGGCTGGCCTCAAACTCACAGAGATCTGCCTGGCTCTGCCTTCCGAGTGTTGGGATTAAAGGCGTGCCCAATGCTGCCCGACCCAAAGCCTGTTTTGAAAACAAACAAACAAACAAACAAAAAAGTTTTATTAAGATACTGATACTGTATTTCAATGAATGTTACTTATTTAAAGCATAAAATTTAGGAAGTTCTGATATGTATATACAGCTGTGAAGCTATCTTCATAATTGAGACAAGTTTCCTCATACTTGTGTGGGAAATGTGGCTTAGTGCTGAGTGCTTGCCTGGTATATTCAGGTTCTGGGCTCAGCCCCTAGCATTGCAGAAAAGCAAGGAGGGAGCTTAACTCTTGCTTCTTGTTCTTTCCACTGCTTACCTCAAGAAAATCATCCTTTGTCACATTAGACTAGTTGACGTTTTCTATATGCTTTCATGGACGAGCATCATGAAATATGTTTTCTTTTTGGTCTGGCTCTTTCTTCATGTGCTATTTAGAGATTAATTCATTTTTCTTGTATAAATGGTTCATTATTTTTTAGAAATGGTGATTGATTTTGGCTTTTGGAGATGATATCCTTTAGCTCATACTAACCTTAAAAAACCTACGTAATCAAGGAAAACTGAGCTCTAATTTTTCTGTCTCTTCCTTCCAACTGCTGGGATTACAAATATGTAGTACTGGGGCTGGAGAGATGGCTCAGGGGTTAAGAGCACTGTCTTGGTCTTCCAGAGGTCCTGAGTTCAATTCCCAGCACCCACATGGTGATTCACAACTATCTATAATAAGATCTGGTGCCCTCTTCTGGCCTGCAGGCATTCCTGCATGCAGAACACTGTCAGTGATAAATCTTAAAAAAAAAAAAAAAAGCTCTGTTAATTTACAAACTAATATGTACTACTACTTCTTATTCTATTGATATATCACTGTTTATTAGTTGTTGATTTTAATTTATGTTATTACAAACAAATTTATTTGAACATTTATTTATGTGTTTATATTGATATGTATTTATTTCTCTTTAGTAAATACTGAAGTGTGTAGTAGCTGGATTATATGGCAGGTTGTACATTTAATTAACCATTAATAAACTGGCTGGCTTGTGTGGCATTCTGGAGGACCCTGGGTTTGATCACCAGCTCTGCAAACAGTTAACCAAGCACCTGCCAACTCTTTCCCACCAATAGAGCATGTGTGTTCTTCCAGTTACTCATTTCTTAGTATGTATAAGCTTTTAAATTGTATCTGACAGACTCTCAGTAAGAAAAGACATCTGTATGGAATAGATTTCAATTCTCATATTCTTCTAAGGTGCTAGAAAAATATTTTAAATGTGAAAAGATTTTAGCCAGTTCACTATTGATTTATTTCTCATTTAAAGAAAAAAATGTTTTATTATGTGTGTGGATGTGTGCCTGTGTGAGTTTATGTGTACCACATGTGTACAGTGCCCAGAGACTCAGAAGGCATGTGGTCCCTGGAGCTGGAGTTGTAAGTGGTTGTGAGCCATTTGATGGGGGTGCTAGGAACCAAACCCAGGTCCTTTGCAAGAGCAGCAAGCCTTCTTACCTGCTGAGCCATCTCTAGCCTTTTTATTTCCCGCTTTCTTATTTTTGATAGTGTTCGGTCACGGATGCCGGTTTGAAGCCCAGTTTATAAGATCTGATATGTTTTCTTCTTTCTTTCTTATGTATTTTTCTTTTTGTTTCAGCGGCCCCTTTGTTGCTTTATGCAAACAGACGGGACTTGAGATTGGTTGATGCTACAAATGGCAAAGAGAATGCAACGATTGTAGTTGGAGGCTTGGAGGATGCCGCTGCGGTGGACTTTGTGTTTGGTCATGGCTTGATATACTGGAGTGATGTCAGCGAAGAAGCCATTAAGCGAACAGAATTTAACAAAACTGAGAGTGTACAGAATGTTGTTGTTTCTGGATTATTGTCCCCGGATGGGCTGGCATGTGATTGGCTTGGAGAAAAATTGTACTGGACAGATTCTGAAACTAATCGTATTGAAGTTTCTAATTTAGATGGATCTTTACGAAAAGTTTTATTTTGGCAAGAGTTGGATCAACCCAGAGCTATTGCCTTAGATCCATCAAGTGGGTAAGTTTCTGTGTAATGTACAAAAGGCATTCCTATTTCTTATTCCAGTCTTCCTTCACTGGTAAACACTCCTTCACTGCTGGGGAAAAAAGAGATGGGGACTCTTGGTTTGTTTTCAAGGAGACTTGATTATGGGAAGTTGGGTTTATCCTTAAAGGACAGTGTTTATCCATGGTTGGTGGGGTGCAAATAAATAGAACCATTGTGGAAATCAGTTTGGAGATTTCTCAAAAAATTGAAAATAGAATTACCATGTAACCCAGTGAATTCACTCCTGGGCACATATCCAGAGAGAACTATATAACCTATCAGAGATATTTACATGTCCATGTTTATTGCTGTTTTTATTCAGTACAGCAAAGTATTGGAATCAACCTCGTTGTTGGTCAGCAGATGAATGGCTAATATTATGAATACTGTTCAGCTCTAAAGAACAGTGAACTATAAAAATATCCAGGAGCACTGGCCCTGCGCATTGCTCATGGCTGCAAGGGGTGAACTAGCCAGGACAGTACTGGAGAGCTCACCCTGGTGGTGAGAACAGGGGAGAGCTGGCGGGCTGACCAACCCTGAAAGTACCCAGGCCCAGAACAAGAGTTTTATGTTGGCCTACCCAAACATCCACCCCATCTGTGACCTGCTGGAGCACACGGGTGGGGTTGGGGTGGGGTCAGTCCTACCAGAGCTGCCGGATCTCCATGACACAGGGCAGCAACAGGTTGTCCAGGAAGAGTCCCAGTGAGGGCCCAGTGTTGATGGTGTGGCAGAGACCAGGGGCCTCGAACCAGACCAATGATTCTTTTCAATAAACACCTGTGTGTAAAAACATATGGATAAAGGGGTTTCTTGAGTGTCTCATGGTTTCTCTTCCTTCCTTCCTTCCTTCCTTCCTTCCTTCCTTCCTTCCTTCCTTCCTTCCTTCCTTCCTTCCTTCCTTTTTTCTCTTAAATCTTATTTTATTTTGGGGTAGGGAGGGAGATGGGTGGGGTCAGGAGACATGATGTGAAAGACACACAATATAAAAAAAAATTCAGGGAAAATGAATGGACTTAGAATGTAAAAATATTAAGTGAGGTTATATAATCTTAGAAAGAAAAAAAAAAAACCCTGCATATTCTCCCTCATGAGGAATCTAGTCAAACACACACACACACACACACACACACACACACACACACACAAACACAAACATGTATAAATACATACAATATAATGGTAGAAAAGAGAATAAGAAAGGGTAAATACTAATACATTACAGATTAGGAAAGACTGAATGTACATAATGGATATAAGATATGAAAAAGGCTGTAAAGCTGATTGTTTTTCTAGTTATAATGCTGTTGTGGACTTATTGTTTTTAATGGTGGATAAATTCATTAAGTGAATGTATAAAATCAAATGTGAAGCTTATGGCTTCAGAATCAGTATTTAAACTGTACAGAAGTTTACGGAGATGTATTGACTTTGAGTCTGATTGGTTTTGGTGTGTGATTTTTATTCGCAGTTTTTTAAATAATAAAGTTTATAAAATTAAGAAATATAAAAACAACAGTATAAATAGTTGTTTTTTTACAGCAGTTATAGAGCAGCCATGTTTATAGTTCTTGAGTTTTTTCTTTTTTGTCTTTTTTTTTTAAAGTAAGAGAGAAGGAAGACTTAGTATCTGATCACTTAATGAGATTTTTAAAAAATATCCTTGATCATAGACTATCATATAACCAATCATTTCACAGTATACCAATCATTTCACAGTAGTATCTTTTATATTAAGCTATGAGATACTACTTAATGTATCTGTGCTGAATGGAAAGAATGATTATTAAATAACTTCTTTCTCCTTAGCCAAACATGTATTTCATGTACTTGCAGTGATGGTGTTATTTTGTGTCCATGTGTCCTCTCCCCGCCAGACAAACCCAAGGCCTTCCTGAGGCTAGGCTAGTGCTCTGCTATTGAGCTACATCCCTAGTGCTGCAAAGGGTTATTTTCTAAAGAGAAATATAGCTCAAAATTGAAAATGATCACAGAATATGAACTCTGCCTGCATTGCTCTTTGCTTAACTGTCTCAATCTTACTGTATACTATTTTACATTTTTAGTCAATATATTGCTATGGCTGAATGTAAGTAACTATGTGAACATGAATCTGAAATGACTTAACTGATACTTTGTCAAAGTCCTGAGGTAGCTTCTGTCTGAATACCTTTGAGTATTTTAATACGTTTAATACGTTTCTTTGATTTTTTTAAAAACAATATTAGAATGCTTTAAACCTCTTTATTTATGGGAGTAAATTAATTTCATCTAATAAAGTAGAACTTGGAGTAATCAAATAAAGGTTTATATAGATTCTTTTGTTATCAGGCCTGATTTGGTGGCATAGATTAAAGATGATGCCATGTTGTAAATAAATGAAAAGTTTGTTTAGCTGTGTTTAGCTGTAAAAGATGACGGTAGTACAGTGAAATGTTAGGTTTGGCTGTTCTGGAGAGAACAGATACATACATACATACATCCATACATACGTATATATGTGTGTGTGTATATATATATATATATATAATGATATTAAGGTGTTGTGGGTCTGGAGTTGCTTAGAGATTCACCATGACCATGAATAAGTTTTAATAAGAAAAGGCTTTTTATTTAGATACAGCATCCAAACCTGGCACCATGTTTATATACCTGAGAGCACTCCCAAGATACAGCCCCTAACCATATCAGTCCAGGGCTTACAAAGGCAAAACCTTGAAGTTACAATTTTGGGTCTTATGACTGTCTTTTTGAGCAAAGTAAGCAGATTTGATTACAAAAGCAGAAATAAGTCTTATGACCTATTATTTTGTAAGAACAGCAGATTTTACAAGATCAGTCAATTTAAGAACTGTCTTCAACATCTGGGGAAAAGGGAAGTGGGTTAACAGGGTACAGCCTGTACAAGCTAGGGGCTTACATGTTAGAGGCATTTTTTTTTCTTTTTGGTCTCAAGCATAGTAATGTTACTCATCACAAAGGAGCAGCTGTTGAAGTGAGATGGTCCTTTAAAAGCACACACATTTAGGGTGTGCAGAAGTTGAAGGGCAGCTTTCAGGAGGTCAGTTCACCCAGCCACATGGATCACACTTGTGGGCAGGCTTGGTGCAAGTGCCATTAAGCGACACCATTACTCTAAGCTGGCTCTTAATAAAGAAAGCATCAGAAGTGTGGAGGTAGGAAAGGGTTGGGAATCAGAAGAGGGACTTAGACATTGTGCATAGTAAGCTGTTCCAATTAGAGACTTAGGTTGTTGAGAACTTTGAAGATAATCTTGAGGGGTGGAGCTGGTATTTTGCTAATTCTCTAGTAAGTCTGAGGGGTGGTGATGTGTTTGTGGGGTTAATGCTTATGTAGATCACATTAGATTTGCCGCTTTCACTGATGATTAGGAAAGAAGTCTGGTGAAAAGAAACAGTTCTCCTCCCCTTCCCTTGACCCTTCCCCTGTTCCTCTTCTCCCTCCTTCTGTCAGGTCTCAGAGTTTCACTGTGCAGCTCAGGCTGGCACAGCAGTTGAAATCCTGCTTCAGCCTTCTGAGGTTGGGATTAGAAATCCCTGTTCCAGCATTTCCCCTTTTCTTTTTCTTGACAGGCTCATTCTTACCACAAGGGAGGTAGCTGAAATTAGCCATTCAGTAGTTAGTATGTTTCAGACCTCTCCATTTGTTACTTCCTTTGGGAAGAAACGGGGGTATCGTTTTAAGGATCTGCTGTCTACTTAAGGACAGAAACTTGGGAGAGAGAACTTTTTTCACAGAATGAATGTGTATTATGTTGCATGTATTTGGAGATGGAAAGAGTAGTATTAAAGGAGTTAAAAGGCCAGTTGAGAGCTCTTACTGGGTTTCCATTCCTTGGTTTTACAGCTTGAATACTACAGTTCTAGTATAGCACCTTGTTCATTTCTACATGGGGTTATAATTGTGTGGTAGTACACTACACACACACACACACACACACACACACACACACACACACACACACACTTCCTCAACTCTTTTTTTTTTTCCCCCAAGACAGGGAATTTCTCTGTGTAGTTTTGGTGCCTGTCCTGGATCTCGCTCTACAGACCAGGCTGGCCTTGAATTCACAAGATCCTCCTGGCTCTGCCTCCAGAGTGCTGGGATTAAGGCATGTGCCACCGTGGCCCAGCCTTTCTCAACTCTTGAATGATTACAAGCTAATGATTTAGTGAGTGGATATTTTTATTTCATTTCATTTCTTAAAACAAGTGAACTTTATTGCTGCTATGATAGGTCTGCTATATTACTAAAAATACATTAGAGGTTTTTGTTTATCTGTTGCCTTTTCTGTATTAAATGTGAATATTTACTAATGACTCAGCTTATACATCATTGTAAGAATGAGTAATAATATACTTTGAAGGTAGAAATAGTATCTTTTAGCTTCTAAATGTGATTTGGTGAAAATAAACACATTCTTTTTCTGGGGCCCAAACACCTATTGAAACATTTTTCATTCTTTCTCACGTGGTTAACGGGGTGGGGGTGTAAGTTCACCTTTTCCTCTTCTCCTTCAGCAGTTCCAAAAAATTCTTTTACTTTTTGGGACATTGCTTTGACTCACATGGCTATTTGAAACATAATTTATGGCTGATGAGATGGCTTGTTGGTTAAAGGTGCTTATCACCAAGCCTAAAAACCTGAGTCTGAGTCCTAGGACTCACATGGTACAAGGAGAGAACCGACTTCCACAAGCTGTCCTCTGGCCTCCACATATTCATGCACACATTCACACACACACACACACACACACACACACACACACAATCAATAAATATGATTAATATATAATTGGGACCAGATAGAATTCAGCCAAATGGCATATATTTGATAATTAATATGATAGGGAAAATATTTAAAAATTGTATTTTAAATTCATGAGTTAAAAATAAATCACTCATTCAGTATTCTTGATCTTAGATTTGCGTCATGGATTGTGCTTT